AAAGAAAAGAGAAGGCCTGCACCAAGCCAGGCCTGAGACCCTGGGAGCCCCCAGAGACTCCAGCAGGCTCTGGGACATGGCAGTTGGCGAGGTGGGCATTCCCTTGGACTCAGGGACCCACAAAGCTCTGGTGGCTGCTCCAGCTGAGACACGGTGGCAAGGAGCCTGGCTCCCTGCCCATTTTTCACTTGGGATTTTCACTGATGCTTTTCCCTCAATTTTAAGGATCTTCTATGTGGTAGGGTGGAGTGGGAGCTCAGCAGTAACCTGAGGCACTTGAGAGGGAATAGGAAAAAGAGTCTCAGATGATCCCTGCGGTCTCTGAGTGAGAACCAACACGACATGTGGGACCTGACCAAGAGGGAGAGCTCCTTTTCAAAGGGCAGATATGGAGAAAGCCCAGGGAAATCTCACACAGCATGGTGAGTGTGGTTGTTTGATAAGAGGTAATGCAGACTCAAACGTCTAGCTGGATGGTGCAATTAGAGGTAAGGTTAAGGTCTCCAGGTGCCCACCAGAGACCAGTGGTCCTATACTGCTGTCAAGCTAAAAGGAGGAAAGAGAGAAAAATGAAACTGACAATGTCAGGAAGTTTTAGGATGAACACAGTGACTGAAGGTGCTTGTCTGCTTTCGATGAGGGTTTTTGTGCCATTTTGTGTGCCAGTGACTGTGGTTCCTATCCCCTGAGTGCATTATTACAGGCACTGGCACGCTGGCTGCTCTGGTACAGAGCATCACTGCTGCCTGAGAAGCTATGCCCCTCACAGCCAAGAATTTGAGCCATAACAATGGGACATATCCACTCCTGCCTGTCACCTAAGCTCCCCAAGTCCCAGAGGGTTATTCAACAAAAGCCGAACTGCATACTGAGTGCAGAATTGCACATTGCTTTGTTAATTCTGGGTTTGATACAAAACATCCTATTGCAATGTAACAGCCCAATTTGACTGGTCAAAAAGACCTTCAGGGCATGAATACTAACAATGGACTGTTGCAGGCTGAATGCCAAGGCCACTTGGCATTTCTTGATTTACAGATGGCTCTGGGAAACTACAAGCAGTTGAAGCCTCTTGTAGTTTCCCAGATATACTTTACAGATGGCCAGCCAGTGAATGGTCATCTCTTGACTTATACTGGACATAGATGGTCTCTCCCCACCCTCCTGGAGGAAAGAAGGCATCCATGCCAGCCTGGACGGGCCAACTTCACACAGTGGCGATGGCCATGCCAGCCACCCCTGCTACCATATCTTAATACATATTTTTTGACCCATCATTTCTGTTTCCTAAGAGCTTCACTATCAGATCAGGAAAACGGCCACAGAGTGGCTGAACTATTAAAGGACCTCTATGTGGAGAACAAAGACTACAGCCAGTTCGCTGCCTAAAAAGGGGAAATATCTGTCACTTGTGTGGATGCTGGAACTACCATGGCCACCGATGAAAAGAATTTGTATCATCTTTTTGCATACACTGCAGGACTTCACTCTGACCAAGGAATGGTCTGCTAGTGGGATAGAACCCTTATCTGACTAAGGCAGTAAGGGCACTAAACACTGCGCTCCAGTACCAGGGAAGCACAGCCCTGAGCGCATGTTGGGGAATGCTGGGCTTGGTGAGGCTGGAGGTGGATCAGGCAGCTGCTTGATGAGGCTGCACCTGTGAAATCCCAATCACTGTATTCTCAACCATTCTTCTCCCTTTCTCCCTTTAGAGTGCACTTCCCAGGGGTGGCTTGTGGTTCGGGCCTCCATAGTACCCCGGACAGGGCTCGTGAAATCTAACCTGGAGGTGAGGTTTCCCCTGTTAACTTCCATATATGGAAATTCATAGAGTAATGCATGGGACCAAGGAATACCACAGTGCACAGGTTCCTCTACTGGCTCCAGGGACATCTGATCTTTCTAGTCAGGCGAGTGGTGTTTTCAGACACATCAAGTTTTTACAGAATGTTTCCTCCCTTTCTGGACTGGAAGACAGAGGCTGAAAGGCCTGAGTTAAGCAAAAAGGACAGTGGGTTCCAAAGACTGGACTGGGTGCTGTACCAACTGAGCCCAACTCCTATCCAATAGGTAGGGAACACGAGACACTCCAGAAGGGGTGGAAGTGGGGCACCAACCTGTTGTTCTATTTTCTCCACAAACACATGGCAGCAGAGGCCTGGAAGCACAATGCCTTCTTTATGTCCTCCCAAGCTGTGGTCACCATGGGTGATAGGGGTTGGATCTGTGTCCCCACCAAATCTTATGTTGAAATGTAAACCCCAGTGTTGGAGGCACAGCCCAATGGGAGGTGTTTGGGTCTGGGGGGAGGATCCCTCAAGGTTTGGCGCTGGCCTCGCGGTAGTGAGTGAGGTCTCACAAGATCTGGTTGTTGTAAAGTGTGGCACCTCCCGCCGACCCTCTCGCTCCTGCTTTGGCCACGTGAAGTGCCTGCTCCCACTTCAACTTCCACCCTGAGTGAAAGCTTCCTGAGGCTTCCCCAGAAGCAGATGTTGATGCCATATTTCCTGTAAAACCTGCAGAATCATGAGCCAATTACATTTTTCTCTTGTAAGTTGCCCAGTGTGAGGTTTTCCTTCATAGTGATGCAGGAATGGACTAATACCATAGATCAACAAATGAAGTGTTGGACTGGCCATCCTGGATCTTATTCTGTCATAGACCACAGTGGTCCTCTCATCCTGCCAGTGGCAAATGACACCAGCATTCCTAACACCATAGGGCAAACCAACAGGCACCAAGCCCTGGCTTGCCAAGTAAGGATCTGGCACTTGCCTCATGAAAGGAAACCAGAGGTGCCCCATTTTAACTTAACTGGCCAAAGGTGGCAAAACGTCATAAGCACAATTAGTAAAACCGTGGTGGGCTAATAGTTTGACACACTACTTTCTTGTTTTCTTTTTTCTTTTTTTTTTTTTTTGAGATGGAGTCTTACTGTCGCCCAGGCTAGAGTGCAGTGGCATGATCTCTACTCACTGCAACCTCTGCCTCCCAGGTTCAAGTGATTTTTGTGCCTCAGCCTCCCAAGTAGCTGGGATTACAGACCCGCACCACCACGCCTGGCTAATTTTGTATTTTTAGTAGAGACAGGTTTTTGCCATGTTGACCAGGCTGGTTTTGAACTCCTGACCTCTGGTGATCCACCAGCCTCAGCCTCCCACAGTGCTGAGATTACCGGTGTGAGCCACCACGCCCAGCCCAACACACTACTTTCATTTGATTACATTAAAGATAAGTGTCCCAATGGCAATGATGAACACAAGGACTGCAACAATGCTGGCCTTCTAAAGGGACTTTATAAACAATAGTGTAAGGGTGAAACTGAGCTCATGCAACATGACTTAGCTGTCAATGGCTGTGCCTCCATACCCATGAGTAGGCCACTGAACAATAACATGGGAGAAAGCATGCTATGTACACCCGAAAGCTACATATTTCTCTATGGGCAGTCTAAGGGTGACCAAAAAATAAATGAGATGGGCAATGTCTGCGCCTGAAAAGCTAGTGGATGGTAGGGTCCTGCGTGCTGGGGGTGCCCATATAAACCACTCCTGGGAATGAGACACATCACTGGGCCAGCAGCCTAAAGCTGTACACCAGGACACCTAGAGCTATATCAGAAAGAATAACTGACTCGAGGTTTATGTTCTTTATGAGATCTTCAATAGCATGCATAGGAGTCAGCTCTCCTAAAGAAATAATCATAAACCTGTCCCTGACCATGGCAGATATTGCTTCCTTTACTGCTTCCTTTACTTTGGTAGCTTTGAACTCTCCTGGGAAGATTATTTTAGACAACACAGTTGCTCTAGACTGCCTTTTAGCCCAACTGGGAAGAGTGTATGCAACTGCCAATACCTCCTGCTGTACCTGGATGAACAGCTCAGGTATTGCTCAAACACAAGTAGAGCAGACCTGATTGCAAACAGTGGGGCCACTGAAAGAATCTTCTCTGAGCCCTTTAGCAACTTCTAACCTAGATCCCAGGGATCCCAGGGATCCCAGGCCAGGTTACTTCCCAGGCAGGCCTGCTCATCCTCCTTGCAGTAGTAGTCCACTTGGCCCTGGTGAACAGTATTGTAGCTATGGTTTGCAGGTCACAAGAATAATGGAGAGTATACTGGATCTGCAACATCTGGATATAGGGAGGGTCTGGCTAAAACACAGTCAAGGCTCTGTTTCAGTTCCCCCAAAAGAGGAGGTCCTTCAATACTGTAGCCCAGTATGTCATGCTGTTCCTGCAGTATAAAACCAGGGTGGGCTGCTTCCCCATGTGCCTCAGCTCTGGTGCAAATGAGGCACAGGCAGATGAGATGCCATCCACCCTGGGGAAGTCCCTGAGCCTTGGGGCGTCAGCTGGCAATGAATCCTAGACTTCTGCAGTCCCCTGCTGCCAATCTGTAAATAATAGGCCCACTTCATCTAACTTGTATGTGTAGAAATGATCTGCCTCACTAGACTCAGAAAAACTGGGAACCAGCACACAGCGAGGCTGCTTCACAAGCACAATATTTACAGACTCATTAGCTCTCCATAAAAACTGGCAGCAGGAGTTCAGGAGATAGCTCTGCTACAATCTGGTGTTTCATCTCTTGGGCAGCTATGGGTTCTGTGGGTCTTATGTGCTCTTCTTGTTTTTCTTTATCACACATGCAGCATTTCATTACATGCAGATTGTGGAGGGCCCAGAAGGGGAAAGTCCCAGTGGTGTGCTCCTTCCTCCATCCCGATATCAACCTACATATTTTCTAAGCCTTAATGCTAGTCAAAAGGGAGGAGATTAGTGCAGAGTGGGTAGGCTTCACAAGGAAACAGTAAACGTGAATGCTAAGATTAATTCTAGCACCCAGTCGTAAGCCTAAAGTCTCCATTCTCACATACCCGTGGGGACATTTTGATGTGGATACATACCTCTTACTCATTAGTACAAAATCCTTTGCACTGAGAACTTCAGAGCCACACTGACTGAAAAGAGTCAATTTGCAAATCATGTTTTCTACAGAACACTAAATAGGATGTCTTTTATCCTTCTTTTTTTGGGAGGTGGCGATTTGAATGTCTTTAGTAAATAAATGAGTAAATGGCAGCACAAATCGGCAACAATAATTTTGGAAGGATTGAGGACAAGATGTAGAGTCAGGATGTAATTGTTTATTTCAGTGTCTCCGTGCAGGTGAAGAACTTTGCCCACTGATCAGTATTACATATTGCAAATGCAGGAGTAAGGCTAAAATACTAAGGACTTATGCAGTTCGGAAGATTGAATTGAAACCTTAAAAACTATCATAATAGCAAGAATGCATATTAAGATTTGATATCTTTCTTTAGCTAGAATTTTCAACCCACAGGAGCAAGGTTGTAAAGTGAGTAGGCCTGAAGAAGGGACACTCTTTTGAGAAAAGAAATTAGCTACTTCTAAAATGATTCAATTATTTTCCCTATTTTCATTTTCCATAATGTATTATTTCCTCTGGTTTTATACTTCTAACTACCCCCTTGATTCCTCTGAGGAAAAATATTACAAGAAAGCAGGATCAAACAAGGAAGAGACTTATCATCTTAGCCTTTTAGAAATACTGTTTCATGGCAGATAATCTCAAATTAAAACTTCCAAGCTTTTCATCACTCCTTGAAGAAATATTTGTGTTTACTGGCCTGGAGCAGGAAATTAGGAAGGTTTAAGCAATCTCTGAAGCTGATTAAAATGGAGTAAAAAATCAGTCTTCCATTTTGCACTACTATACTATCAGGTATCCACAATCAGGCCTAGTTTCTGGAGTTAATATTTGGGGGGGAAAGGAGGAATCCCTGTGACCCAGGACCCCATGCTTGAACCATTTACTTTATGACTGGAGGGCTTTTGAGAGAAATTGAGTTGATAGATAAATAAATACATACATACAACTCAACTCTGGCAGATTCATCAGCACTACCAACACAATAGAGAACAAAATTAAAACGGGAAAAGAGTGGAAAGGAAGGGGCTTGAGAGGAAAGACAATGAGGGCAAGGTGGTGGGAGAGAGAAGTCTTAGCCTTAGAGCAAGTCCGATTCGAAGGAGTGGATGCTGGCAATGGGAGCTCTCCAGAAGTTGAAGGTGCTGTACTCAAGGAGGGCATCACCTTCAGGGTTTTTCTCCTGCTTTGCTCCAGTTGCTTGCCCGATCATTTTGTCAACGCTGCTGTCCTTGATCTTGTACGTGGATGTATCTGACAGACCCAGGCCTTCCAGCTCCAACAGATCCAGTTCTGGGATGGGCATCCTCCAGAAAAGAAAGGAGCTATACTGGCTGCTCACAGGGTCCCTCATAGCTTCCTGTTATCAATCAATACTGGTGTGTTCCAAAGATGGAGGGAGTGCCTCGGGGGCTCAGGGGTCTGCACCGGGCTGGAGAAATACAAAGCTGTTGGGGCTTGGACGGCTTTGTTTTCTCACTCCCTTTCCCTCTTCAGTGACTCGTCTTTTATCCTTCTTATATGACTTAAGGTTCAGCGCCCACTGGTTGGTGGCAATGGTCCCTCAAGGGATAACACACAGTCCTGTCTTGCTGTCCTTGGAACCAGAGCTACAACTGCCTTCCCCCTTCTCATGTACATGGATCTGGGGCTCCATGATTGAAATCGTCTGCTCTGGCTGCCTACCTCGCTGTCCCCATCATGCTTAGAAAGTCATTGAAGACAACTGAGTGCTTCCTCAAGACCAGCCAGAGACTAACCAGGAAACAGAAGTGTTTCTTTGTCAGCATGCCCATGATTACTTGCTGCTTAAGTGCATGTATATAGGCCAAGACTAAAGAGAAAAACATTCTGGTTCGACAGGTCAAGCATTCTGGAGGATTTTTGGCCACTTTTCCCATTCTTGAGATGCTACAGCTTGACTAACACTCCTCCCACGTCCAGCCGCCTTCCTCCTGGCCAGTTGCCAGTGTACAAACCTGCCCCATTCCCTAATAGCCTTGAGTAGCCAGATGACAGAATTCTTGGTCCATCATTTAGTGAGGCTGTGGAGAGATAAGTCTGTAAAATTTTACTTTAAAGGAAATCTGGAAACCTGTGGTCTCCATGCCTGATCAGCAAAGGAGTTCTCTGTGGGCACCAGAGACAGGGACCCAGGGTGGAGGCCTGCAAGTGTGTCTGGCCCTGAACTCACAAGCATCGGTCAGGCTTCCTGAGCATTGAAGAGAATATGCGGGAGAAGCAAACACAAACTGAAAGAATATGCAGGGTGTCTTTCTCAGATGTTACTCTGTGACCGATGGTAGGGGCAGGAGTGATGGAAAGAGACTGAGAAGATCTGGACATGGAGGCTGGAACGGCCAGGGTGTGATTCAGAGAGGCAGAGACGCATGAGAAGGAAGGTGAATTTTAAGGCTGGAAATCTGAGAGTCAGTGGTCCAAGTCACTCAGAGACAGAATCACAGCACAGCCCTCGCTGATGGCAAATAAAAGAGGACAAGGGGACTGGAAAGAATTCTGCTAAGAGGCAGGAGCTACTGAGGAGAAATTTGTAGCAAAATTAGCAAGTGGAGATGATGATTTTTGTCCGTTTTTCCTGTTCTTCAAGAAAACAGGAGCTAACTAGAAGGACTGGAGAACAGGACTGCCAAAACTAGTGGGAAGCCCCCTAGAAACGGTGACATCACCCACCAAACAGACCTGCCAAGGCTGTACCTGGCCTTATGTCTCCTTCACCTTTCTGGCCCCACGCAGCCACCAGACAGCCATGCCCAGCAGCCCCCTACAAAGCCACAGAGTGCCCAGAGTGAGCCCCAGCAGAAATGCAAAAACATCGAGCAGGTATTGTTCATGCCAGGGCTGCTGGAAGACATAGGGCTTGAGGTGTGCCGCCCCACCTGTTTGGAGAACATGGTCAATCCAGCCCACTAGCCGCTGCGCGGGGCTGAGAGGGTGGGAACGCAGGATGATGCTGGCAGCCACTGCTGCAGATTTGTACCTGTTGGGAGAGACAGAGAGGGGCATTACTAATGTGACCTAGCAAGAGTTAGAATGTGTGATCCATTCTATATGATGCACTAAAGACTGAGTTTCAAGGAAATTTTGTTGGCCTGGCTTTGCAATAATCTATCTGGGTTCCCTTGAAACGTTTAATCATGACACCTACATGCAAAGATCCATGTTTAATGCTAAAAGTCTTAAACTACGGCAGGGCACGGTAATCTCAGCACTTTGGGAGGCTGAGACAGGTGGACCACAAGGTCAGGAGTTTGAGACCAGCCTGACAAACATGGTGAAACCCCATCTCTACCAAAAATGCAAAAATTAACCAGGCATGGTGGCGCATGCCTGTAATCCCAGCTACTCAGGAGACTGAGGCAGGAGAATCGCTTGAACCCGGGAAGCAGAGGTTGCAGTGAGCCGAAGCCACTGAACTCCAGCCTGGGTGACAGAGCAAGATTCTGTCTTTAAAAAAAAAAAAATTTTTTTTAAGTCTTAAACTACAAAAAAGTAACTAAGTCCACAAGTAGTCTTATGATGTAGCCTAGGAAAATTCTGTAAATGTAATTACTATATGTATACATGGAGCACCTAGATTGTGCCAATCTCTAAATGGGGTGACAAACCTAACCCTGGGGAATATCAGGCACAGGCTTCACATTTCCCCAAAATGAAAAGGTAGGAAATGATTCTTAGCATCTAACTTAAATGCTCTCGCTCTCAGAGGACACAGGTCAGCTGTTGGCATCACACACACATCATTCCATGTCCTAGAAAATACAGTTTTAATCTAAAGTAAAACAAAACCAACCAAACAACAACAACAAAAAGATTCCCATAGTGCCCTTAATGTTTTTGCCTTCATTCATCATTATGACCACAACCCCAGAGAGCTGCATACCTCTCGTCTTCCATGATTTGTTTCATCTTCAGAGCCAGTGTCTCTGCCTTGAGCTTCTTTAATGGAATAGAGACACCAAACTTTTTGACTTCTACTCGGATCATGTTTTCAGGCTGGTCTCCAAAGACAGGGATCCCCACCATGGGCACACCATGCTGGATGGCCTCCATTATGCTATTCTGCCCACCATGAGTGACAAATAGACGGATGCTGGGGTGAGCTGTTGTAAATAAGAAAGAGGGTGGGGCATTTCAGGATGAAACTTTCAAAACATCAGGCAGAAATGAAGGGCATAAGAAAATGCCAAGGGGATCTAGTGGTGTGGTGGAGCCATTGCATCTAATGACTGTGCTTGGGACACATCCAAGGTTACAGTTCCAAGATACAGGATTCCAAGCATTGCTATCTTATGGAAACATCTCTCCTCAGCCAGAAACTCAGCTAAAGCTTAGAATTGAGTGAATTCTATAGAGAAGAGTGTTGAGCAAGCCATACGTCTCTATCTGTCCATCCATTCTTCATTCTCTCTGTCCTCCCTGTGCCTCTCTGTTTCCCTCACCTCTATTCTGTGTGTCCCTCTCTGTTTTTACCTCCTTTGTCTGTGTTGAGCCCTCTTTTACCCACTGACAGCTAATTTCCCTTTTCTTGTATTCCTGACATAATCATTGACATCACAACTCATGTGTCACTTATAAAACTTGTATTGATTGTATGGTATCCTCAATTATAAAATAAGCCCCTTGAAAGTAGACTGGATCCTTCAGCCCCTGTATTTCCAGTTCCTGTCTTTCCATGCTGGCATTACTTAGAGCTAACTAAAGAAGCTGTTGATAATGACAAACACGTCTCAACCTGGGTCACTCAACTGCAGTGTGCATCACACTACTTGTCTCTTCTTTGAAGTGGAAGGCATGTGCCCCGCCCCAGAATTTTAAAAACTATATTTACAGAAGTAGGACCAGGAATCTACAACTTAAATTGCCCAGATTCTTTTGAGCCATAATCTTGGTTGTGAACTTCTGCTCTAGTCAGTGGCTATGGCAGTGTGGTGCCTTTAAGCAGTAGCACTGGGCACAGAGAAAACCAGTTGCAGGCAAGGGAGCTCTCTGGTTCCAAACAACTCAGTAGACAAAATCACCAACTGTGAAGTTGCCAAGCTTGGCACACAGGTATGTTGGCACATCCTAAAGACATCATTGGCATTAATGATGTGATGATAGAAGTTGCTCAGACCCTTAGTAAATTAAGAGGATGTATCCACATTTATGTGTGGATGTGTGCTTCTGTGGGTGCATGTGGCCAAAGTGGTGCTCACGAACTCATTAAAGAGAGTGGCAACTCTCCCAACCCCCAGTATATACATTCAGAGTTGATAGGTTGTCTTGAATTTTGTTTGGGTGACATTGTCCAAGACCAAATGGAGTAGAGTTAAAGAGACTTGACAGGAATATCACATAGGGCTACAGACATCAGGCCTGGCATAGAAAAGATTGAAGGAAAGATGGCTGTTTTGGCGTCTGATCCCAATGGAAGTAAAGGCTGGTTTCCCAAGACCTCTAGCTGGCTGCTACTTTTCTGTCCACTGAGCCTCACCTGTACCTTTCAATAGCTCCTTCTGAGGTTGGTACAAATGTCCAGCTAAAAGTCAGAGCCCCGATGAGCCCCAAAGACAGGTCAGTGTAAGGAGAGGAGCAGACCTGGGCAGCTCTTACCCAGGAGGTCACTCTGAGGAAGCCAGTCCACAATTTTCACATTTGCAGCCAGGTGGACATCTTTGGGCAAATGAGAACACTGACACTTCCATATCACCCCTTGGGGTAGGTGGGCAAAGGCATTGTTCATCTCCTCGAAGATTTCCTGATTCTGACAGGTGTTCACCATGGAGCCCAAGGCCACAAGGACAAAACCAGAGTCCCCAAACTTGGCAATGAAGTTTTCCAAGTCCTGGAGAAAGATCACCAAGGTAAAGAGGTGACAAAATTGTTGGTGAAAGCTTAGTTGACCACAAAATGAAAGTCAGATTATTTACTAACACAGTGCCTTGTCCTCACTGTCCCAAAGCTATTATCATAGCTCCTAGTATAGCTCAATATTAGCTGCATTGTGGTCATGTGTTGGTGGGAACATCTTTCTTCCTTGAAACCCTGACCCTAGAATCAGGGCCTTTCTTGATCTTCCACCCATTATAGGCCCAGGGAGTCACAGGAGTTTTCCAAGGTCACACTAGAGGTAATAGCATCTGGAAGAGCATTGGTAGGTACAGGTTCCAACATGAGGAGTGGGACTTCAAAATAATTGTTTTCAGGAAGTCCAGTGAAATTCAAGATAACATGGAGAAGAAGTTCAGAATCCCATCAGATAAATTTAACGAAGAGATTGAAAGAATTAAAAATAAAAAAGTAGAAATTCTGGAGTTGAAAATGCAATTGACATATTGAAGAATGCATCAGAGTCTCTTAATAAAAGAATTGATCAAGTGGAAGAAAGAATAAAAGAGCTTAGACAATATAGATATAAATAGAAGCAACAAAAACTTAGTGGACTGGGAGATAAAGTGTAGAATTTTTATTACTGTTCTTTTTTGCTTATTAGTTTGTTTCTTTTTGCAATCAAAGTTAAGTTGTCATCAGTTTAAAATCATGGTTTATAAGATGTTACTCGCAAGCCTTGTAGTAACCTCAAATCACAAAACCTACAACAGATAGATTAAAAAAAAAAACTGTGAGAAATTAAAACATATAACCCAGAGAAAATCATTTTCACTAAAAGGAAGACAAGAAGAAAGGAAAGAAGAAAGAGAAGATCACAAAACAATCAGAAAACAAATAACAAAATGGCAGCAATAAGACCTTCCTTACAAATAATAACATTGAATGTAAATGGACTAAACTCTCTAATCAAAACAGAGTGACTGAATGAATAAAAAGAGAGAACTTAACATTGTTGCCTCCAAGAAACACACTGCCTATAAAAACACATAGACTGAAAATAAATGGATAGAAAAATATATTCCATGCAAGTGGAAACCAAGAAAAAAGAAGGAGTAGCTATACTTACATCAGATAAAATAGGTATCAAGACAAAAACCATGAAAACAGACAAAGGTTATTATATAATTTTTAAAAAGTTGATTCAATATGCACATGTAACAATTATAAACATATAGGCACTCAAAATTGGAGCACCCAGACATATAAAGAAAACATTATTAGAGGTAAAGAGAGAGGTAGACCCCAATAAAATAACAGATGGAAAATGTAACACTTTCAGCATTCGACACATCATCCAGACAGAAAATCAACAAAGAAACATTAAACTTAATCTGAACTACAGATTAAATGAACCTAGTAATATTTGTAGAAATTTTCTTCCAATGACTGTAAAAAAGGCATTTTTCTCCTCAGCACATGGACCATATTTAAGCATAAACCATGCATTAGGCCATAAAACAACTCTTGAGAAATTCAAAATATTGAAATTATATGAAGTATCTTTTTAGACCACAATGGAGTAAAGCTATAAGTCAATAAAAAGAAGAACTCTGTATACTATACAAGCGCATGGAAAATAAGCAATATGCTCCTGATTGAACAGGTCAATGAAGAAATTAAGAAGAAAATTCAAAAAATTATTGAAACAAATGATAATGAAAATACAACATATCAAAACCTATGAGATACAGTGAAAATACTAAGAGAAAAATTTATAGCTATAAGTGCCACATCAAAAGAGTGAAAGTCTTCAAATAAGCAATTTAAGGATGCATCTTAAAGAACTGGAAAATCAAGAGCAAACTATACCCAAAATTAATAGAAGAAAGAAATAATAAAGATTACAGCATGACATTTAAAATTTAAAAATATAAAAGATTAATGAAATGAAAAGTTTGTTTTTTGAAAAGATAAACAAAATAGACAAACCTTTAGCCAAAAGAGAGAAAACCCAAATAAATAAAATCAGAGCTAAAAAAGAGACATCACAACTGATGCTACAGAAATTCAAAAAATCTTTAGAGACATCTATGAGCAACTATATGCCGATAAATTGGAAAACCTAGAAGAAATCAGTATGTTCCTAAACAGATACAGCTCACCAAGATCAATCCATGAAGAAATCCTGAACCTGAACAGAACATAACAAGTAATGAGACTGAAGTTGTAATAAAAAGTCTCCTAGCAAAGAAAAGCCTAGGACCCAATGGCATCAATGCTGAATTTTACCAAACATTGAAAGAACTAATACCAATCCTACTCAGACAATTCTAAAAAACATAGAAGAGAAGGGAATACAAGCCCTGTATTACCTTTATACCAAAACTAGACAGATACACATCAGAAAAAGGAAACTATGGGCTAATATCTCTGATAAACATTGAGGCAAAAATCCTCAACAAAATACTAGCAAATCAAAATCAATAACACATTAAATAGATCATTCATCGTGACCAAGGGGGATTTATACAAGCAATGCAAGGATAGTTCAACATATGCAAATCACTTAATGTGATTCATCATATCAACAGAATGAAAGGAAAAAAAATGATCATTTCAATTGATGCTGAAAAAGCATTCGATAAAATTCAAAGTCCTTTCATGATAAAACCCCTCAAAAAACTGAGTATAGAAGGAACATACCTCAACACTATAAAAGTCATATATGACAGACCCAAAGCTAGTATCACACTGAATGGGGAAAAACTGAATACCTTTTCTCTAACTTGACAAGGATACTGACTTTCACCACTGTTATTCAACATAGCACTGGAAGTTCTAGCTACAGCAATCAGAAAAGATAAAGAAATAAAGGGCAGTTAAAATGGAAAAGAAGAAGTTAAATTATCCTAGTTTGCAGATGATATAATCTTATATTTGGAAAAACTTAAAGACTCTACTGAAAAAATCGTTAGAACTGATCAACAAATTCAGTAAAGTTGCAGGATACAAAATCAACATACATATATTAGTAGCATTTCTATATACAAACAGTGAATATCTGAAAAAGAAATAAAGAAAGTAATTTCATTTACAATGCCCACAATCAAAATAAAATACTTAGGAATAAAGTTAAACAAAGAAGTAAAAGATATCTACAGCGAAAACTATAAAACATTGATGCAATTAATCAAAGAGGACATTTTTAAAAATGTAAAGCTATTCCATGTTCATGCATTGGAAGAATCAATATTGTTAAAATGTCCATACTACCCAAAGCAATCTACAGATTCAACCCAATCTCTATCAAAATACCAATCACATCCTTCACAGAAGGAGATAAAATAATCCTAAAATTTATATGGAGCCACAAAAGACCCAGAATAGCCAAAACCAACCTGAGCAAAAAGAACAAAACTGGAAAAATCACATTACCTGACTTCAAGTTATACTATAAGCCTATAATAACCAAAATAGTATGGTACTAGCGTAAAAGCAGACACATAGACCAACAGAACAGAATGGATAACCCAGTAGTAAATTCATACATCTGCAGTGAACTCATTTTTGACAAGGGTGCCAAGAACATAAGGACAATCTCTTCAATGAATGATGCCAAAAAAAAAAAAAACCTAGATATTTATACACAGACAAATAAAACTGGATCTATATCTCATCATACAAAAAACAAATAAAATGTATTAAAGACTTAAATCTAACACTTTGGGAAGCCGAGGCAGGTGGATCACCTGAGGTCAGGAGTTCGAGACCAGCCTGACCAACATGGTGAAACCCCGTCTCTACTAAAATTACAAAAAATTAGGTGGATGTGGTGGCAGGTGCTACCTGGTGGCAGGTGGCAGTAGCTAGTTTAATCCCAGCTACTCAGGAGGCTGAGGCAAAGAATCACTTGAATCCAGGAGGCAGAGGTTGCAGTGAGCTAAGACTGCACTATTGCACTCCAGCCTAGGCAACAAGAGCAAAATTCCATCTCAAAAAACAAAAAAAAAAGAAAGAAAGAAAGAAAGAAAAAGAAAAGAAAAATACTTAACTCTAAGGACTCAAGCTATAAACTACTAAAAGAAAACATTGGGGAAATGCTCCAGGATGTTGATCTGGGCAAAGATTTCTTTTTTTGGTGTAATACCTCTAAAGCACAGACAACCAAAGCAAAAATGGACAAATGAGATTATATTAAGTTAGAAGGCTTCTATACAACAAAGGAAATGATCAACAAAGGGAAGAGATAACCCATGGAATGGAAAAAAAATGTGCAAATTCTTCTTCTGACAGGGATTAATAACCAGAATACCTAAAAGCTGAAACAACTCTATAAGAAAAAAAATCTAATAACATGATTTAAAAATAAGCAAAAGATCTGAATAGACATTTTTGAAAAGACGTACAAATGGCAAACAGACATATAAAAGGTTTGCTCAACATCAATGATTATCAGAGAAATGCAAACCAAAACTACAATGTGATGGCTTTCATCCAAAAGACAGGCAATATAAAAAATGTGGAAAAAGAAAACTCGTACACTGTTTGTGGGAATTTAAATCAGCACAACCACTATGGAGAGCAGTTTAGAGGCTCATTGAAAAATTAAAAATAGAACTACCATATGATTCAGCAATCTCACTGCTAGGTATATATCCAAAAGAAAAGAAGTCACTATATTGAAGAGATATCTGCAATTCCATGTTTATTGCAGCACTATTCGCAATAGCCAAGATATAGAATCAATCTAAATGTCCAACATCAGATGAATGAATAAAGAAAATATAGTATATGTACAGAATAGAGTACTCATTAGCCATAAAAAAGAAAGGGATCCTGTCATTTGCAACAACATTATAGCACATTATAGCGCAACAGGGTGACTACAGTCAACAAAAATTTATGATACATTTTCAAGTAACTAAAACACTATCATTGGAATGTTCATAGCATAAAAAAATGATCAATGCCTTGAGGTGGTGGATCACACACAAATAAAGAAAAAGCAGTAACGCTCTGTCCCAAAAGCAGAACTGGGCAGCTTATAGCATAAAGTCCCCTTGGTAGCGCTTAACAAAGTTAGTGTTGTGAAAGGAAAATAAATCTCAGGATCCTTAAATTGTTATGCCAAAGAGAAAAGTCAAGCTGGAAACTGCATCAGGCAAAACTGCCTCCCATTCCATTCCTAAATATGGTAGCTACAAATATTTTTTTTAAAAAAAGCTGCATACCTCCTTCACCATTTGCCCAAAAGAAAATTCCTTGTGGACAAAGAGCAGACGGAACTCAAAAGCATCCCTCTGCTCACCTGAGACAAATATATGTCAGCTTGCTTCCTTTGCCCTACTGTTTCACTAAGCCAGACTAAGGCATAAGTGACTATATCTGTAAATTGTGCATTCAGTGAAAGGCTAATCAGAGACTCCAAAAAATGCAACTGTTTGTCTCTTGTCTGCCTGTGACCTAGAATCCCCCTCTCCTGCTTTTCCAAACCAAACCATTGTTTATCTTACACATATTGATGGTTGTCTCATGTCTCGCTAAAATGTCTAAAACCAGCCTGTGCCCTGACCACGTTGGGCACATGTCGTTAGGGCCTCCTGAAGATGTCATGGGTGCATCCTTAACCTTGGCAAATAAAGTTTCTAAATTGTTAAGACCAGTGCCATATATTTTGGGCTCACAGTATCTAATGTCTTAATTTTGTGTTGAGCACAATTTTGTCAATTCCTACTTCCAAATATTTCTTTCAACTCTGATTCTGATTCTCTCTGCCCTATAAGAGCTCACCCCAGCTCCCATCCCATCATTCTATCAAGTGGTTCAGCCCCTGCTGGATTCCAGCCAGCATACCACTTACCATTCCAAAGGACCTCTTTGAAACAGCCTTGTCATCATTTTTATAATTATAATGCAACATAAACCATTATAGAAAAATAGGAAGATGCAGTGAAGTAACATTTTTTTTTAAATGTATATTGTCTCTCAGCCATTACAACCCTTACTCCCACTGTTATCCTCTTAACAATGTCCTCCCCTGACTCCATGATGGAGGCCTGACCCACCCACCTGATAGCTAAGGTTTCTGGTAAATCCCCACAGCTTTACTCATGCAATTGAATCTTCTACTGCACTAGTCTAGCCAGCACTGCCCAGGGAACCCAGTCTCATGGCCATGTCAATTACATCGTCACACACTGGGCCCCCTGCTCCCCAACCTGGGGTGCTTTCCCTCTCAGCTTCATTCCTAAAACTTCCTGCCACCAATGCAAAGCTCATATCACCCATAGATTATTCCCCAACTCTTCCTGCTCACCCAATTCAAGTTCAGAGGAGGAAGAGTAAACATTTTCGTGTCTGGAAAGCCCAGGCCCTCAGGGCCTCTGAAATACACGGTGGTGGAAATGTCACCTATATCATCTGAGCTTCTGTCCTTCTCCGTTATAAAAATGAAGATGATCACACCTCCCTACTGGTGGCAGGATATTAAATATGATAAATTCTGTAAAATGGGAACCCAGTGCTCAGAGGCAACAGCCGACCAACTCATCTTAACTCTCCTCCCTTTGGAAAACTTCTCTGGCAGAGGTTCTGAGTTGTGAAGTTGTGCTGTGCATTCAGATCACCTGGGTAGCATTTGCAAATTACAGTGGCAGGGGTCCACCCCAGACAAATCAAGTCAGAAGATCTAGTTGGAGCCCAGAGCCAGGGCTCTATAGACAAATAATACTGGAAGTTCTTGCTGTCAGTCCCATGCAGTCACACCCTGCTTACTCTGAATCCACATTGTTGTCTGTTTCATTGTGAGTAGCTTATCTCCTTAATAATTATTGCATGTAATGGGCACTAACTACATATTTATTGTACACGTGATCATACAAAATAAAAATGCAAACAAAAAATAAAATTTTAATTACAGGGCTTATTTTACCAAGGCTAGGACTAGGTTGTGGCAAGAGAGGAGACAGAGGAACTCATATGAAGATGCCCTTGATCTCATGATGGTGCAAGGCCTAACACTGTACTTGCCCAAACCTGAAATTCAGCACTTCCTTTAAAATCATGCCCTAGGTGCCTCCGTTGCCTAACCCTACTTCAGCCTCAGGATCCCACGGGCAGGTGGCAGCCACCAACTATGCACTGAAGGCCTCTGTGTGAATTCCAAACTGAATGCTAAGGGTTCACTTACTTGTGGAACTGGCTTAATAGGTTTTTCCATCAAGCCCCCAACATAAACAGTGTTGGGAAGCAGGGGCTGGGCAAAATCAAAGGCAAAGTCAGAGTTAACGAACCACAACTCTGCTTTCCGTAGAAGATGAGACAAAACCGGCCTAGAGCCTTCTGTGAAATGCTCCTTGATGGTGTTGTCAAATACAGACTGCTGGTGCCATTGCCTCCTGCAGAAACTAAAGGACATCAGAAAATTTTTTACTCGGCCCCAGAAGTCCATGTGATCAGTCAGAAAGGAATGGAATACTGGCACATAAGACAAAGGGCTTGGTAGCCCAAATTCCAAAGAGCTGAATGAGGTGGGAAGAATGGCCACAAATGGCTTCTCAAGCTTCTCAGCAATCAGGAAGGGACAGTAGTCAAAAGTTTCAACTATCACCATGTCGAAGTTCTCATTCTTTAAGGAATCCATGATATCCTTTCTCCTTAAAAAATGATTGCACTGCAAAGCCAAGTATTCTAGAATGTTTAATAAGTTTTCAAATTTTTCTCTGTAAGAAAAAAATAAGTAATGAATATTCATGGAAGTGTTAAATTTACAATACATAAAAGTATCTTGAGATACAAAGAAAAATATCCCAGAGAAGCAACAACCTTTCTAGCAGCCACCCACATATACAACCAGTTTCCCACAAACACTCTCTGCCATCCATGATTATCCTGGCTTAAACGTTTCTACTCTTAGAGCGTACCTTTCTCCCTTCTCCTTTTCTCCCCTCATCCAAATCCCAACCACCATCAATGCCGATTCAAGGTCCTTCCACTCTGAGAGGCATCTCTGACTGCCGCAGATCTCACAGTTCTCTCTCCTCGATAAATTAGGTGACATTCTGTTTAGCCCTCATTTACATGTGGACTTTTTATGAGTGATTGTCTTATTTACCCAGCCAAACTGTGTAAGTAACTTGATAATAGAGTTTGTCAGTATTGATGATATGTGCTATGTTTTTAGCACTGTGTGTTTGCATATAGAGATTTCCTCAACCAAGGAACTCTTTGATTACATTACAACCAAAAATCTCAGCTGAAATGAGAATTCCACCTTTCTATCCCTGGGAGTTAAGCAATGGGAAAAACAAAAACAAAGGAAACCTGATTTTTGAAACAGGTTATTTGTTTTCTTTATTATTATTTCTTTCTTTATTGTTTACTTATATTTTTATTTTACATATTTTTATTTATTATTTATTTAATTATTTATTATTACTATTTCTTTCCACCTCAATGCAATCTGTGGTGTTCAGATAAGATAATGTCAAAGCTTTACTGACATGTGCCTATCTATGCAAAGGGACGATTCTTTTGCAATGTATTCCCAATAGTGCCTGCATAGAATATGATCCTATTTTACAGAATGTTGGGGAAATAGGTGAGGATGCCTAGGCCAGCTGCAATAAGTGCAAGAGCTCTAGATATCAGAAAACTACTGACTGCATGGAAGACTGAGAGAATCAATTCCCTAACACACAGGTAACCTGTACACCACTCTACCATTGCCCTCCAGTTAGAGAAGGTCCCTTACTAGTGATATGCAGTTTGGCTGAAGTCATCCTCTGCTGCACGTGTTTAAAGATTCACGTAACAAAGGAATGGTTGCCAAACATTTTTGAAAGCTTCAGTAATGGGCTGGGCGTGGTGGCTCACGCCTGTATCCCAGGACTTTGGGAGGCCAAGATGGGTGGATCACCTGAAGTTAAGAATTTGAAACCAGCCTGGCCAACATGGTGAAATTTCATCAATACTAATAATATAAACATTAGCTGGGCATGGTGGTGCACACCTGTAATCTCAGCTACTTGGGAAGCTGATGCAGGAGAATAGATTGAACCCTGGAAGCAGAGGTTGCAGTGAGCCCAGACCACACCATTGCACTCCAGCCTGGGCGACAAAAGAAAAACTCTATCTCAAAAAAAAAAATTTAGTAATGTAGTAAAACTTTTTAGAATGTAGTTCATTAGTCATATTTATAATTAAGCTAATAAAATATTTTATTTATTTATTTATTTATTTTTTGAGACAGAGTCTTGCTCTGTCGTCAGGTGCCAGGCTGGAGTGCAGTGGCTCGATCTTGGCTCACTGCAACCCCCACCTCCCAGGTTCAAGCAGCTCTCCTGCCTCAGCCTCCCGAGTAGCTGGGACTACAGACGCACACCACCACGCCCAACTAATTTTTATATTTTAGTAGAGATGTGGTTTCACTATGTTGGCCAGGATGGTCTTGATCTCTAGACCTCGTGATCTGCCTGCCTCGGCCTCCCAAAGTGCTGGGATTACAGGCGTGAGCCACTGCACCCGGCTGCTAATAAAATATTTTAAGAATGCACTCTTACTCACACCTGTCCTTAAAAATATTAAACTGGGTAAGAAGAGGCAAGGCTTATGCTTAAAATATGTAACTAACTATGCAAGATGATAAGGCTAAGGGTCAAATAGGTGGGTTAGATCTGATATATAGAGGAGAGAATGCAGTGCTCCGGCTTGGGTGAGGAGGGAGGCTTTATGGAAAAAGTCAGATTTGAGCACTACCTTGACTACTGAGTAGAATTTTCAAGGAAAGAAGAGTAGGTAAGGCCACTGTGCTTAACAAAGATAGGCCTGGATTTCTGTGTTTTCTCTTTTATGTCTAAAATTTAAAAGTTATGTGTTTTTTCCCATCCAGATTAAGCAAAATGAGTCAGTTTCATGTTTCGTTTTGTACCAGGTTGATTGCTTTTTAAAAAAACTTTGCATGGCTATATGTTTAACTTCTATAAAAGCAATATTCATAAGCCTTTTTATTTATGAATATATATGAAAAGAAAGGAAGACAGTAAGTGGGAAAAGGTGACTCCAATTTTCCCATCAACAATGAAAAGTTGAGGGGCCTATCCAAATTTCTGTGTCGGGGAGATTATAGGCAACGATTGTAGGTGAAGCGTTGCAAGGAAGTCCAGGAGAAACAATTTCCTACTTTCTACAGAAAAGCATTCATGCTTATAGTGTAAGGAAGATAGTACAGAGTAAAGAATTTCCAGTGACTTCACTGGATGATGTGGCATGCAATACTCATCTACTCCCCCTATGATCTGTCTCTCCATCTATCAATCAATCCGTTCACCTGTCCATCCATCATCCATCCACCCATCCATCCACCCATCCATCACTTCCTCTTATCCTCTTTCCAAATACCCATGCATCCATCCATTCATTTGTATGATTAAAATAGTGACTCTTTGGTTCAAAGAATTAAAAAAACAATTACCTTCCACATAAAGCTTCTTCCAGAAAGAAATTGAAACTCTTCTTAAATTCTCTTTGATGATCTTCAGGTGGAAGCCAACCGATAACTTGGTATGATTTTTCCTCCTTTTTAAAATCTTAAGAAAACAGCAACAGGTTAAAACAAGTTAAATATGTTACACAAAAGAGTTACATTAGCATAACAATATCAAAACTTATTTCAAAGATTATTTATTTGAATGGTTGCTTCTTTAAGTGTTTTTTAATGTATACATTCATTTATTTTTGAAACGGAGTCTTACTCTGTCATCTAGGCTGGAGTACAATAGCACAATTCTAGCTCTTTGCAGTCTCAGGCTTCTGAGTTCAAGTAGTCTTCTTACCTCAGCCTCCCAAGTAGCTGGAAATACAGGCACGCATGACCACACCTGCCTAATTTTTTTAATTTTTTGTAGAGACAGGGTCTCTCTATACTGCCTAGGCTGGATCCAAACTTCTGACCTCAAGTGATTCTCCTGCTTCAGCCTCACAAACCACGGAATTACAGGTGTGAGCCGCTGGGACCAGCCTTCTTTTTTTATCTCATTTTGCTGCTTTCTGATTCAATCTTATAAAGTGATGAAAATTTATTGAAATCGTTACAATAATTTAAGATTTCTTTTTCAGTTTAAAGTTATAGAAGCTTCAATTTAAAAGTATAGCTATTTGTCTCATTTTACAGGTCAAGAAAACAAAGGTTAATTTAGTTTAAAATAATTTGTCAAAATTACACTCACAGAAAGTGGTAGTTTGTATTTAAATACACTATGTCTGTTTGATTCCAGAGCCTCTGTTCTTTCTGTTTTACAAAACAATTATTTTTATTATTTAAAATGATACATGCAAATAATTTTTAAATTCAGTCAAAAAGTACTAACAGACTTCATTGAAAGAGTAGTCCCCATCACCTCGACTGACCAGCTTGGCCCTTCTTCACTACCCACGTGTAATAAAAGTCTGACTCCATTTTCGCTGTTTGCCTCTTGACAAATTTCAAGCCCCATTTCCCCTTCCGCTTCCTATGCTTCATCTGAGCAAACTGGTAAGAAAACCTACACCTTCTCTCTTATCGCTGGTAGGAGTTTCAACCCATGCAAGTCAGGACAATGAAGGGAAGTCCTCAGCCCATCCTAACCCCTCCTCATAATCAAAACTCAAGCCAGTCATCCCTCCCTGCTCTCTAAAGCCATTTTTCTGCTTTGCCTGGTAGCCTGTCCTGCTATTCCAAAAAAGAAAAAAAGGAAAAAAAAAAACAAAACCCTCACCCTATGAGTCATAAACCTTTCATAGTGTGCCTTCATCAGATGACAACCAAACCGAATTCTGTGTAAGGACTGGGGGTATATTAACACATAGTCCCACACATATTAAGGTCCTCATATTCGAGCTAACTGAAATGAAAGACTCCATCCAAGTAGCTACTGGCAAATCCTTTGCAGTCATAGAGTTAGCTAGCATGTTCTTTTCCGTGCTGATTTTAAAAGCCACAGTGTGTCTTCACCTTGGAAGAAACACAATGCGTGGCTACCCATGGTGTACTTCAGCAGCCTTACTATTGCCCACAATCTTTGCAGCAAGATCCACTGCTTCTAGTTTTCTTCAGGAGTATAGACATAATATTACATTGAGGGTGTCCTCCTCTGAGGAGATTCATTTGCCACACTCATTTAAGACATAGAAACATTCAAAAAGGAGCTCACGAAGAGGATAAGCCATTGTCCTATGCAAAGTATCAGATCCAGGCCCTCAATTACATTCCAAAGTATCATTTGGTTAGTTGAAGGCCTCTCCATCCCCAATACTATTAAGAAACAACTATTGAGCCTCCCTGTGCCCATAATGTTACAAGCCCAACATCTTTTAGGCCTTTTTGCATTCTAAAGACAACATATTCCTTATTTGTAAATTTTACTTAGGTCCACTAATGTTTATTACTTAAAAATCAGCCAAGATTGAACAGGATCTCCTGTAACAGAAGGCTCCAGAATCTATCCAAGTTGCCATATAACAGGCTCTCTCATTAGTGCTTCCCAGAGACACCTGCACTGTAAAGGCTTTAGCATTCTCTTTTCATACCACCTGGAGTTCTTCTGAGCACCTGTTATGGCTGTTTCAGTTTCCTATTGTTGCTTTAACAAATTACAACAAAGTCATTGGCTTAACACAACACAAGGTATTATAGTTTGGGAGATCAGAAGTCCAAAATGGGTCTCATTAGAATAAAATCAAGCTGTGGGTAGAGCCACATTTCTTCTGAAGGCTCTAGAGAACAATCCATTTTCTTGCCTTTTCCAGCTTCTTGAGGCTGCCTGCCTCCCTGGATCATGGCCCACTTCCAAAAGTCAACCACATCTGCTTCTGATTTCTTCTTTCATCACCACTTCTTTAACTCTCCTACCACTTTCTTTCCTTTATAACAGGGATGTCCAATCTTTTGTCTTCCCTGGGCCATGTTGGAAGAAGAAGAATTGTCTTGGGCCACATATAAAATACATTAATGATGGCTAATGCACTAAAAAAAATAGCAAAAATAATCTCATAATGTTTTAAGAAAGTTTATGAATTTGTGTTGGGCCACATTCAAAGCAGTCCTGGGCCGTGTGCAGCTGTGGGTCATGAGCTGGACAAGCTTCTGTTATAGGAACGCTTATAATTACATTGGACTCACCTGGGTAATCCATGATAATCTCCCTGTCTCAAAATCCTTCTATTAATCACATCTGCGAAGATGCTTTTGCTATGCAAAATAGCACAATAATAATTACAGGAATTCGGACATCTATATCTTCAGAGGGGGGCATTATTTGCCTACCACACTGTGTTCTCTAGATCCCAGACATTCATATACATCCCTCATGGAATGAAAATGTGTTCATTCTATCCCAACATCCCTCAAAGTCTCAAACAATTATATCATCAATTCAAAGTGAAAAATCTCATCTAAACCTCATCACCTCAGAATTCCCAAATCACATCATCCAAATAATCTACATCAAGTGTAGGTAAGAGTCTGGGTATAATCCATCCAGTGGGTCTCACTATGTTGGCCAGGCTGGAGCACAATTGTGTGATAATGGCTCTCTGCAGCTCCGGCCACCAGGGCTCACACGATCCTCCTGCCTCAGCTTCCTAAGTAGCTGAGAAGACAGGAGCATGCCACCATGCCCAGCTAATATTTTATTTTTATTTTTAGCAGAGATGAAGTCTCACTATATTGCCCAGGCGGGTTTCAACTCCTAGGCTCAATTTATCCTCCCACCTCAGCCTCCCAAAGTGCTGGGATTACAGATGTGAGCCACTACACCTGGCCAGGAGTTTCTCAAAGTTTATTGAAACTGCCACCATTCATTTTTAATCGAACTTTTAATTTAAATCAATTTAATTTAGTTACACTTTTTGAAATTAAGAAATAATTGTCTTAAAAATGAGTATACTACAACTATTTAATCAGATATCCAGTTAAGGCAGACACAAAGGGAGCTAAATGACATTCAGTGGAGAATATGAAACCTAATTAAAATATATTAAAATGGTTTTAAGCAGGGACTCAAAAAGACATTTGTATACCAGTGTTCGTACCAGCATTGTTCATAATAGTCAAAAAATAGTCACAATAGAGAAAGCCAATTACGTGGCTGAACAGTCTTTTGCTTATATCCATCAATGGATTAATGGATAAACAAATGTGCTGTATCCATAAAATTGAATATTTATCCAACCATCAAAAGAAGTTCTAACACACACTACAATATGAATGAACCTAGAAGATATTATGCTAAGTGAAGCAAGCCAGACATAACAGGACAAATAGTGTATCATTTTACTTATATGCAGTACCCAGAATAGTCAAATTAATAGAGAAATAGAGAGAATAATGGTTATCAGGGGCTGAAGGTAGGGGATAAATAACAGAAGTCACTGTTTAATAGGTAGAGTTCCATTTCATGATGATGAAAAACTTCTGAAGAGGGAAGGTGATCATGGTCGTACAACAATGTGAATGTCCTTAAAGCCTCTAAACTGTACATTTGAAAATTGAGGCCCAGTGCCGTGGCTTCTGACTGTAATCCCAGCACTTTGGAAGGCCAAGGTAAGCAGATCACCCGAGGTCAGAAGTTTGAGACCAGCCTGGCCAACATGGTAAAATGCTGTCTCTACTAAAAATACAAAAAAATTAGCTGGGCATGGTGGCACACGCCTGATGGCACGCACCTAAGCTCCCAGTTACTTGGGAGGCTAAGACATGAGAATCATTTGAACCCAGGCGATGGAGGTTGCAGTGAGCCAAGATCACACCATGGCACTCCAGCCTGGGCAACAGAGCAAGACTCTGTCTCAATTAAAAAAAAAAAGAAAGAAAGAAAATGGTTAAAATGGTAGATTGTATGTTATATATATTTTACCACAATGAAATTTTAAATTTTAAAGGAAAAAATGTAGATTAAAAAACAGTTTTGGCCAGGCACGGTGGTTCATGCCTGTAATCTCAGCACTTTGGGAGGCTAAGGTGGGCGGATTACCTGAGGTCAGGAGTTCAAGACCAGCCTGGCCAACATGGTGAAACCCTGTCTCTAATAAAAATACAAAAATTAGCCAGGCATGGTAGTACATGCCTATAATCCCAGCTACTCGGGAGGCTGAGGCAGGAGAATTGTTTGAGCCTGGAAGACAGTAGTTGCAGTGAGCCAAGATTATCCCACTGCACTCCAGCCTGGCTGACAGAGTGAGACTACCACAAAAAAAAGAAAAAAAAAAAAAAAGAACAATAGCAAAGCTTGATGTTACCTTCAAAGATTTATAATATTTCAGAATTTTGTTCCTCAAAGACGCTTACTTTTGGATTTTTTTTCTTTTTTAAATTATAGCTTTAGGAGGGGCATGTCCAGGTGTGTTGCATGTGTGTATTGCATGATGCTGGGGTTTGGGCTTTTCCCTGAGCAACACTTCCATATTGAGCAATTTGGAGCATAAAACCTAAATCCACCCAACTCTGTTATCAACCAAATCTTGAGCAAATCTGTTAAGTTCAGGGTTTCTGTTTCCTTGTGGATCAACAGAAAGGTTGATAAGATCTATGAGCTTCATTCTGGCTGAAATTCTTTGGATTTAATAACTCCATTAAGACCATCTGAAATCACTATGTGGAAATTTGTAGGCAGCCATTTATTTTTAAGAATGCAAGACCATCTCAGTGATAGACTCCTAACTTAGCTGCATAAATAAGGGGCCCCCTGAGAAAGCTTACTTAAATTCCAGATATCACAAAAAGAGAAACAGTAATATATAAAAAGAAAAGTGATTCTTACATAAAAGAATTGTTAAATAAGGTTGAATATTTCTGTTCCACTTATATATATAGAGAGTCTTTGAGATGGAGGCTTTCTCTGTTGCCCTGGCTGGAGTGCAGTGGTGCATTCCCAGCTCACCGCAGCTTCTGCCTCCTGGTTGAAATGATCCTCCACCCTCAGCCTCCCAAGCAGCTGAAATCACAAGTGGGTGCCACCATGTTCCGCTAATTTTTGTATTTTTTTAGAGACGAAGTCTCCCTATATTGACCAGGCTGGTCTCAAACTCCTGGGCTCAAATGATCCACCTGTCTCGGCCTCCTAAAGTGCTGGGATTACACCTCACCCATCCCTGTTCAATATATTTTTTAAGCCATGTTATAAAGTAGTATTGTTAAAATAATCCGTAATAATCAGCAGATGGTTGCTTGGATGCAGTAGAAGTCAAGTAAGAGGGGAAAAAAAAAATGGGAGTATGGAATGTTGAGTCATGGTAATCAGAGCCTAAGAAGCTTTTTGGCACTTTATGCGCATGCACGCACACACACACGCACACACACACAGCCTTTTCATTTTTCCAAATGAATTCAATTTTAAAAAAATATTTTGCTAACCCTTTCTATGCAAAAGGCATTTGGCTCTTTGCTTGGAGTAGGAGAAATCAAGAAAAGTGAGAAAAGATACCTGGCATAACAGGACCTCTTTTGTGGTTAAGCATGGTGACATTATGACCATGACCTTGAAGAATCTGAGAAACCCGGTCCATCAGTAGATGATGGCTTCCACCTAGGAATAATTAACAGCTTTAGTTCTGTAATGATTGGAACACAGTGTCTGAAGTCAGTAGTGATAAATCCAGGAGAGGAAAGGCAGGGAAACAGGACGCAGACAGTGAGTGGAGGAAAATGAGTTTTGCCAGTCTCATATCCCTCTGGGTAAAACTCAGCCCACTCACCCAGAGCACGGCTGCCCAAATCCTTACCTGTGGCTCGCCTCTGTGAGAGATTGCCTCTTGTGATTCACAGTATCCATGTCAGTGTAATGAGCTACTATGTACTTAGGCTGTGGGAGTTCCTCATCCTAAGGTACACGTACATTTTAACTAAGGCCTTATGGAGACACAGAGTCCAAAAGAAATAACTGTGTGGGTGGAAGTACAGGTGTGGTGTTGTACAAATGAATGTGAATGGTTCCTAAAATACAGTCAATGAGAGCTGTTTCTGGGATCCTGCTCTTTGGACATTTATGCTGCTATGGGAGATAGAAATCTTAAAAGGAGATAGAAATCATCACTGGGACAGAAGGAATGTGGGGCCACTACTTAGACCCAAATCCTTAAGATTCTAATGTATTTGAAAAGAATGTACTTAATTTAGGTAAACAGTGATCAAGTTCTAATTAAGACATTTGAGGGCAACTGGGGAGCCCTTGTGGTGGGACTGCTGGATCCTGGTTGCACAAGATACTAGGGAAACACTGATTCCACAAAAACCCTACCACCCTAAGAGAAACTTGATCCTCTAAGGAGGTACAAGGTTCATGAAATCAATGTCTTCTCTTAGTACATGTTCTGATAACACAGCCTTCGTTTGACTTTGAGGATCTCAGCAGTAGAGAAAGGAAGATCAGAAGAGAAGGTAATGTAATGGTAAACACCAGATGTTTGGGGGTGGGGTGGAAGGGGAGTAGAGAAGTAGTGTGCAGCTCTCTGAATGACTCAGTTTACTTATACCCAGACTTGAATAATCTAAAGCAACAAGTACAAATCTGCCACAGGTCTTGCTCACTTTAATCCATGTGAGAACAGGGAGCCAGGAAGAAGGGGTCCCCACAGAAACACCCATTCATGGTGGAACCTGGGGAGTCAGATGGCATGCTGGGGCAAAGACCAGGATTCCAGCACCTCAGAAACGACACCAGCTCCCTCTTGGAGTCTGAGGAAGGAGGGCCATGTACTTTCAAGAAGTTAAGAAGTTCTGTTGCTTTACTGCTACTAACACTCAGAAAGACAGGAAAAAGTCTTCAGATGGACTGGCATGGTTTCTTAAACAGTGATTTTTGAAAATCCCAGTGAAAAGGGCTTCAGAGTGGAATTTGTGGAGAGTGTGGTCTTGCGGCAAGAAACCCTGAGTTAATTCCTCATGGGACATTAGGGAGGCCACATGTACTCTTAAGAAATGTATCTCACTCCCCGTCCCTCAGTTGCCCTCTCAGGAAATCAAAATTGGCACTGAATTAGATGATCCGTTGTTCCTTCAGCTGTATGAGCCCTGACTGATCGAAAAGGAATCCATTAAAACCCACTATGGATTGAAGTAAAGTCTTGGGGAAGCTCGTTCCTGGGATGATCCCTTTATGCTGATATATGTTTCTCTTTCATCTTCTATTCCCTTTGGGGTAAAAGTAAAAGAAATAAATCTGAGGCCCAAACTGCAGAATTAATAGTCCCATGAATCCCTCAAAAACTGTCAGCGGCACAGGTAAAAGGAAGAAAGATCCGAATGACCTGGGTCCTCTCCTCAGCCCTGGGCGGTTCTCCAGGTCTCCTCTGGAGGAAAACTCCACTGGCCTTGCAGCCCTGAAATACCCTGCCTGCGCCACCCTGGCTCGGGATGAGCTTCACAGAATTCGCAGTGCTGCCCTCAGGAGCGCCTTTCCCTGGTCTCCAAAAGCTTGAAAACACTCGCCATCGTTTGCACTGGAAGCTACTGCGCATCCCCAAACACACACCCTGTGGAGCTTAGGGTGAGCCTCTGAAAGTCCCACTGCGCCCTGGAGAAGGCGGTCCAGGATCTCAAGCTCTGGGATGAATCTCAAATTTCCGGCCCCAGCCCTGTCCGATGGGGAGCGCGTCCTGAACAGGAAGAGAGAGGAAAGGAGAGTCTCTTTTTTCCAAAACTATTTTCCCCCCTCAGCAACAGAAACCCCTCCCTGCCCCACAGCCGGATGGGCTTCCTTCTCCAGCCGGGCCGCAAGCCTAGCCTAGCCTGGAAAATCACTTGGATGACTCTGATCAAGCGCTGTTCGCTGAACCCCTTGTGGCGCGGGTATCCGGGACGTGCCTGTCTGGGAATTCTCTGGCCAAGCACTCACCTACTGTAGATATTGTCAGGATTTTGGCGGCCTCTGACAGCAGGACCCCAGGGAGAAGGAACCCCACTAGAAGCAGCACGCACTGCCCAGCCATGCTCACTTCCACAGGAGCCGCGGGTCTCAGCCTGGGCTGCGCGCTCGGCGCCGGGCTAAGGGACCTGGTGCACCTCAGTGCGCCAAAGGCACTGGCTATGGGAAAAGGTAGGAGAGAGGATCCTGCCAGTCTTCTCTTCTGTCCATCCCCTCTTGCCCGCTGCCCCCTCCTCCCTCGTGCTCCATTGGATAATCTATTCTCACTCTACCAAACTACCAGCAGTCAGTAGGAGGGGTCGGTGAGCCCACCCTTAACCCTTCTCTGTCCGTGTGATCACAGCCCACTCGCCTGGAAAATCCTTACTGTGAGCCAGGAATGGCAGGAACCCCAGTAAATCGCGCTGATGAAAGCTCTATCTCCATGGGACCCACTTCTCTTTTGCCAACGCTATGTGAATTTACCTACTCTAATTCCCGTCTAACTGCCTCTATTAGCTCACACCGCCAGCCCCATGATATACTTCCTGAGACACTTGCTTAATCTTAATTCAAGAGAATCACTTGAAACCTGGAGGTGGGGGTTGCAGTGAGCCGACACTGCGCCACTGCACTCCAGCTAAGGCAACAGAATGAGACGTCCTCTCCAAAAAAAATCTTAATCTTGAGCTGATGTCCTAAGCCCAAGACTACCCAAGCAGGGAATCCCCAAGGGGAATCAGTCTACCATCCCTGGACTCTCTCTCTTAGTGCCTCTTTAGAAGGTAACATTCCGAAGGCTAGAGTCCTAACTCTGGAAGTCTAGGTCTGTACCTGGGGGGCTGAAATTCAAAAGCTGAGACTATCATTCTGAATGGTATCCTGAAATAGGACGGGTGAATCTTTCCATAATTTCTAAGAGCACATGCTCAAGACAGCTTGTAATTCTGCCTCCTTGCTATGTCAGCCCTAGGGAGGGCAGGGATCACTATGTCCGGTAGTCCCCTTTACACACTCTGTGCTCAAACTAAGACTTGCTTTAGGAAAGGCTTTCAGTGCAACTCTAAACAAGCAGAGAAATCCTTGATTGCAGTGGGTCTTTGAATTCTGTTTGTATTATCCCTGCCTTCTTCAGTCTACAGCTGTTATTTTTTCTCATTGGAATTTAAAGCATTCCATTCTTATGCATTCGTGCATCCCTCACCTAACCACGCCTAAAGAGAGAGAGAAGTGTGACAAGGGCAAGGTTTACCAGACATCACAGGGCTCTAGTTCGTCTATTATTCTTGTATTGTTCATAATACATTAGCAAAATAAAGGATTTGTTATCAAACTCCAAGATTTTTATTTATTCAAAAATTATATTGATAGCTTTTTTGGGGGGCGGGGGGGAGACGGAGTCTCGCTCTGTTACCCAGGCTGGAGAGCAGTGGCATGATTTCGGCTCGCTGCAACCTCTGCCTCCCAGGTGCAAGCAATTCTCTGGTCTTAGCTTCACAAGTAGCTGGGATTACAGGTGCCCACCACCACACCTGATTTTTGTATTTTTTTGTAGAGACAGGTTTCACCATGTTGGCCAGGCAGGTCTTGAACTCCTGACCTCAAGTGATCCACCTGTCTTGGCCCCCCAGAGTGCTGGGATTATAGGCGTGAACTGCCATGCCCAGCTGATAGTTATTTATTATCCAAGGCATTGTTCTGCCAGGCAAACTGATACTAAACACACTAAGAAATAAAATATATAGTACATTAATGGCAAATGCTACTAAGAAAAATCAAATGGAAAGAGATATAAAGAGTTAGTTATCAGATTCGTTAATGTTTTAAATAGCATGACTCCAAAGAACTCTAAAATATTATAGGAGTATCAGAGATACTTGAACCCAAAATTTGATTATATTAAGTAGTTACTGTTGCTTTGAAGAAGAGTTCTAAGTAATTATGGTTGTAAATATAAAGAAATTCCAGCTGGGCCCGGTGGCTCACGCCTGTAATCTCAGTACCACTTTGGGAGGCTGAGGCAGGCGGATCATGAGGTCAGGAGTTCAGAGCAGCCTGGCCAACATAGTGAAAACCCATCTCTACTAAAAATGCAAAAATTAGCCAGGCATGGTGGTGTGTGCCCATGGTCCCACCTACTCGGGAGGCTGAGGCAAGAGAATCACTTGAAACCGGGAGGTGGAGGTTGCAGTAAGCCGATATGACACCACTGAACTCCAGCTTGGGCAACAGAAGGAGACTTCCTCCTCCCGCAAAAAAAAGAAAACAAAGAAAGAAAGAAATTTATTGGCCGTTAAGATACATTCTGAAACATTTACAGATTCACTCTTATGATTTCTGGGATTTGCTTCAAAATAATAGGTTGTGAGGGTAAGCAAGGTTCAATGTGGGTGGCAATACAAGAAAAGAGAATTTGCAAGGAGTTAGTTAACGTTGAAGCTGAATGTTTGGCATAAAGAAGCTTTACTTCTGTGAATGTTTGAAATTTTTCATTAAGATGTTTTTATAGCTCTTCCGCTATAATTCTTTTTTTTTTTTTTTTTTTGGTATTATAGCAATTTTTCCTCTATACACATAGGCTACTCATTAAATGCATATATATGAACAATTATAGTTTTAGGTGTTATATCTTCCAGGGAAGTTAATCCTCATTATAAACGGACCTATTTTGCCTCTGGTAATACTTTTCACCCAAAGTCTATTTAGTTTGCCATTACTACTAACCATTCCAATTTTATTTTCCATTGTGTAAAAAGACCTATCTTTTCCTATCCTTTCATGTTCAACCTTCCTGTATCCTCATATTTTAGGTATGTCTCTTGAAAGAGCAATCAGCTTGAAATTTTTATTCAAGCCTGTCAATCTTGTATTTCAATACGAGTGTATGTGCTTAAGTCTGCCAGGTTGCTATTTCTCCCACTTATTCTGTTACATTTCCTCTACTTTTTGGCTTCCTTTGAAGACTTTATTATTTTAGGCCACTAATTCCCTTCATATAACTTGGAGGGAAGGGTGGTGCTTCATCTCACTGGACTCAGACAAACTGGTAACCCGTTCACAGTGAACCTGCTTCCTATGTACAGTATTTCCAGACTCATTAGGTCTCCATAAAGGCTTGCAGCAGGAGTTCAGGAGATCGCTCTGCTACAATCTGGTGTCTTCTTTTCTACTTATGGGAAGCTATGTGTTCTGTGGGTGTTATGTTCTCTTCTTGTTTATGTTTATCTTACACGCAGCATTTAATTACATGCAGATTGTGGAGGCCCCAGAAAGTGAAACTCCCTACAGTATACTGTCTTTACTCCATCCCGATACCAACCTATGCACTTTCTAAACCTTAATGCCAGTCAAAAGGTAGGAGATTGCCAAAGAGTGGCATAGGCATCACAAAGGAACAGTACACATGAATGCTCAGATTAATTCAGCACCTCTTAGTAAGCCTAAAGTCTCCATTCTCCTGTACATGTGGGGACATTTTGATGTGGATACATACTTCCTACCCATTAGTACAAAATCCTTTGCACAGAGAACTTCAGAACCATACAGACTGAAGAGAGTCCATTTGCAAATTACATTTTCTACAGAACCCAAATAAAATGGGTTTCACCTTTCTTATAGGACTTGAGGTTTAGCACTCATTGGTTTGTGGCAATGGTCTCTCAAGGGATAACACACAGTTCTGTCTTGCTGTCCTTGGAACCAGAGCTACAACTGCCTTCCCCCTTCTCATGTACATGGATCTGGGGCTCCATTATTGAAATCGTCTGCTCTGGCTGCCTACCTCGCTGTCCCCATCACACTTAGAAAGTCATTTGAAGCCTGGGTGCAGTGGCTCACGCCTGTAATCTCAGTGCTTTGGGAGGCCAAGGCAGGCAGATAACCTGAGGTCAGGAGTGCGAGACCAGTCTAGCCAACATGATGAAACCCAATCTCTACTAAAAATACAAAAAATCTAGCCAGGCATGGTGGCGGGCACCTGTAATCCCAGCTACTCAGGTGACTGAGGCAGGCGAATCACTTGAACCCAGGAGGCAAAGGTTGCAGTGAGCTGAGAGTGTGCCACTTATACTCCAGCTTGGGCGACAGAGACTCTCTCTCAAAAAAAAAAAAAAAAGTCACTGAAGGAAACTCAGTGCTTCTTCAGGTCCAGCTGGAGACTGTAACCAGGAAACAGAAGTGTTACTTTGTCAGCATGCCCATGATTACTTGCTGCTTAAGTGCATGAATATAGGCCGAGACTAAATAGAAATACATTCTGGTTCGACAGGTCAAGTATTCCGGAGGATTTTTGGTCACTTTTTCATTCTTTAGACCCTGCAGGTTGGTTAACTCTCCACCCATGTCGAGCCGCCTTCTTCCTGGCCAGCTGCCAGTGCAGACTTTCCCCATTTCCCAATAGCCTTGAGCAGCCAGATGACAGAATTCTGAGCAACTAGGACAGAAATCTCTTGGCCAATCATTTAGTGAGGCTGTGGAGAGATAAGGTTGTAAAATTTTACTTTTCAGGAAATCTGGATCAGCAAAGAAGGAGTTCTCTGTGGGCACCAGAGACAGGGACCCAATGTGGAGGCCTGCAAGGGTGTCTGGCCCTGAACTCACAAGCATCGGTCAGGCTTCCTGAGCATTGAGGAGAATATGCGGGAGAAGCAAACACAAACTGAAAGAATATGCAGGGTGTCTTTCTCAGATGTTACTCTGTGACCGATGGTAGGGGCAGGAGTGATGGAAAGAGACTGAGAAGATCTGGACATGGAGGCTGGAACGGCCAGGGTGTGATTCAGAGAGGCAGAGACGCATGAGAAGGAAGGAAGATTTTAAGGCTGGAAATCTGAGGGTCAGTGGTCCAAGTCACTCAGAGACAGAATCACAGCACAGCCCTCGCTGATGGCAAATAAAGGAGGACAAGGGGACTAGAAAGAATTCTGCTAACAGGCAGGAACTACTGAGGAGGAATTTGCAGCAAAATTTGCAAGAGGAGATGATGTGGAGAACAGGGTTGCCAGAACTGGTGGGAAGCCCCCGAGAAACGGTGACAATGCCCAAGAAACACACTCTGCCAAGGCTATACGTGGTCTCACATCTCCGTCACCTTTCTAGCCCCAGGCAGCCACCAGCTGCCAGGCCATGCCCAGCAGCTTCCCACGAAGCTATATAGTGCCCAAAGTGAGCCCCAGGAGGAACACAAAGATGTCGAGCAGGTTTTGCTCACTCC